TTCTAGTTCATCCACCCTGAAATTTAGTACTATATAAAACAGTATGAATGTACAAAACTTTACATATCCCAATGAATACACTGCGATTTTTTATTCCAATTGTCAGGATTTTTGTTTATTTTTTGTATGCAAATGACTTTCAACTTTTTAGAAATTCACCCAAATTACAAATTGTACTTTTTCCAGAAAATTTTACCATTTTGTATACATAGAAGAATTTCTAAAACTTCTACATATAACATTTATCGATAGATTAATAAATTAATTAATTGTCCTCAGATTCCATACATTAAATTCATCCAAATTAAAATTTGTACCTAACATAACAATCTGCCATTTCAACCTTTATTCGTACAAAAGTACTAAAATTCAATTGATAAATGACTAGCATATTCCCGCTAATTAGCCTACACGCCAATATTGACCAATATATATATATATATATATATACAACCAATAGAAATATTATTTCCCGATTTTAGGGTCACCCAAATTCAATTTGTACGATTTATTATTTTTCGTACACATAAGTGACAAATTTCCAAAAATACGTAAATATCCCAATCCTACACTCCGACAATAATGTTAATTTCAAATTTCAGGATTCCAGCTGCATCCGTATCTCCAAATTAAAATCATATAGTTATTTTTGTATACAAAAACACCTCCTTAAATTGGCCCTACTTCTTAACCTTTATTCGCATCCCATATTTCAAGTTTTTAGCTCTATCCATTCACATACTACGAAATTGTACCAAATTTAATACATATTAGTACTTTCGGCTACATATAGTTCGAATTAAAAAAAGCTTTAATACATCTATCCCACTCTCCATCAGTGATCCTTATTCCAAATATTACATTTTCTAGCTCATAATTTAAAAAATGATTTCATAAAAAGAATTACCGTATTGATGAAGGTAAAATTAATAAATCAACAATTGTTTGACAATATTTTTAATTAAGTGAATAATTCGTTAACTTCGTTTCTGTCAAAAGTATTTACATTTGTCAACACTTGTATTATATATTACATTTAACAGTTGAAAATATACATTTATATTTATACATTCGTATGTATACTTCATCTATTTATAACTTAACACTTTAACTAACTTCACTTTGCTAGACATATCCATAACTCTGGCAATAAATATCCCACAAAAGCATTCCAACCGAAATGCCAAAAAATTGACTAATTGAATAAGCAATTTAATACGCAAGACTGGTTAATAAATGTCTCACATTACTTATCTGTCTCATAAAGATATATGTGTGTGTATGTATGAATTGCATCCATCGATTATTCTATCTAATAAAAACTGCATTTGAAATTCAATACTTTATTGCCGGAATACAGCAGCAGCAGTAGTTGTTGTTGTTTGGCAGTTGTATTGCAATATGTGTAACCAATAGTAGCCACCAGCATGATTTATCGTAAAGCTGTTACAATTAATTAATATTTTTATTAAATTCCCCCTTCTTTCAAATTGTCGTTAATTCATTTTAGTTGCAAAAAAACTGATATTTGTACATGAAAAAATAATTTCAAATATATATTTGAGTTTTGTTTTGGATCTGGGTGTTAAATACACAGCCTAATACAAATCGACGTCAAACAAATACAAAATACAATAATTTATGGCGCCCGCCAACAAATAAATACCAACAATTATTACGTTTTTTGCTCGACAGTTGAAAAACAACAACAAAATGTTTAAACATTTTTGCAGTTTTATTAAATTTTTTAATAGTTTTTTTTTTTTAACATTAACTTTAGTAAACCAAAAATATATTGATGATGGTGTTTCTCACCACCTCCCCTCCAACTACAAGAACATTAAAAATGTTTCCATAAATCTATGCAGATTGTATTGCATACGACCGGCCAATGGTCGGTCACTCGGTCGCAACAGTCATGATTGACAGACTTGTTTTACAAAAATTGAAATTGTTTCGCACCGAAAAATACTTTAATGTCCAGTGGGCATTTGTATCATAAAATCGCGCACAGTTCATGCTTTGCTGGTGAATGCCGTTGTGAACAACAATTAAAAGATTTGTCATATTTTCGAAATACAAGAATTCAACAAAACGAAAAAATAGAAAAAATTAATGGAAAGGCCATGCAGCTTGTTCATAAAAGCAAAATATCTGTGTTAATGTCCATATCAATACTAATCACCCGGCAATATGCCACAGATGGTTTTGTATTATTTTGGAAGCCATCGATCCATCCATTCATTCATCTATCCATTCTTCGGCTTTATTTGGAAAGTGAAAGGTGTTGTTTTTATTGGATGGTATTGTTCAAATGTCAATAAAATAACAATGCAAAGTGACGAAGAACTATCAAAACATATCCATGTATGGAGCTACAGCGTATAAATAACCATCTAATAGTCCAATTTTGGAAGAATGTTTAAGAGGTTTGTCTTATCTTCCAAAGAAATTTCCGATTTTTAATTACAATTAATTAAGCTTTCTATAAATTAATTTCAACACCATACAAAAAGATGTTAATCTGAAAGCGTATACTCTAAAATTGCTTAATAAATTCAACTAGTTTGGGACTGGTTTAAGGTCGGGTTATACTAAATGACAGAGCTAAAATTTGCACCTTTCATCACGCAAAGCTTTATACCTAAATGATACTCCCTAATTGAACTATTAATATTGTTACATCTCGTATAATAACCTAAAGAATGGGTCATCTTTATCTCTGTGAGTCGTTGAAGCTCTTGCTAATGGAAATAGGTCTGTAATTTCTTCAGTTCATTTATCAAATTTGAAGGAAACAAATCAAATCTCAAAACAAGAAGGAATTCTCCGTTCCTAATTCCACCATTATTTTTTGTGGGCAGGAAATGTTTTGAATACAAGTTCGGCCCCGCCAAACGTTATACTTTAGTGATTTTAGTAAAAGGTCACTGCAGGCCAGAAAAACACCTCTTAAAAAAGAAACATCTCTTAAAATAATATTTTCGCGATCTTGAAAACTCTAAATCACTTCATATTATTCGGCAATCCCCTGCATTCCATTTGAATCATTATTGTAATACACCTGTTGATATCAGTGAGAGTCTGATTTGATATTGAATCAAAATCGCTTATTAACCTGCTTTCATAATTCACAGATATTGTTCTACTTTAGCATGTCATTAGACGAATATGAAAGGCGTTTCTTTCACTCATTCATTCATAATTTTCACACACACACCAACAGTCAACTGAATGAAAAATACTAGGTAGCCGATTGAGGTGTGACCATACGGAACGAGAGCCTCATTCATTTCATATTATTTGTACAGAAAAAAAATATTTCTGATTGATTGATAGATAGCTTCGTAATCTGACATGACCATCAATTAATTTGAGAGGAGATTTTCATGTTCATGTTACAATGATTTCTGAAAGAAGATTTCCATATTAAAGAAGTGTTCATATGTAAATGGGCAGCACATCATCATAATTAGTATGAGCATGGGAAAGCTTTGAATCATTTCTGTGGGCTTTTACTTTTCCACTCCATGTGGAGTGTTTGTAGTTTTGCATTTCGTTTTTTGTTTTGATTGCAAAATAATTTCTTAAATTAAAGATTTCTATGTAAAGTAAATGTTGCAGTATGAGCGTGTGTGTTTTTCTTTTTATGCAGACTAATGGCTTTGCTTGTGCAGTAAAAACTACTATCTAAAATTTTTGAAATAATATGCAAATACTTATAAGTAGATGTATGTAATTTTCTTTTTACGCCTATTAAAATACTGAGAGTGGTGAAAGTCATTTTTTTTTGCCTGCACTCTCCACTGTCCGTTTTGCATGGCTTAAACTTAAAATTTAATTAACAAATATCCGACCGAACAACCAACCTAAATTGTAATGAAGAAAACAATGTGTGTAATCTAAGGTTGCACTTGGCCAAACTATGAATGAAACGGAATGCCTTTAAGCTTACGGAACTAAGCAAATTATAGGAAACTGTTTTTTTAACAATTATAGTGAGAAATACATATATCAGGACATATACAATATATATGAATATAAAACTAAAGGTGGTGAATATTCACATATTATATATATATATATATATCCTCAAGACTGAAGTAAAACTATTACTCACTTTAAGTACCAATTAAGAAACCGAAAGAGACTTCACATATGACATTATCATAGATTGAAATATTTAACTTATTAGAATTTAATACTAAACTTAAAATTTAATTAACAAATATCCAACCGACCGACCGAACAACCAACCAAAATTGTAATGGAGACTATGAAACTATGTGTGTAATCTAAGTTTTCACTTGGCCAAACAATGAAAGAAATGTAAAGGTGGCTCAAAGATTTAATATTTACATATTTTATCTATGTCCTCAAGCCTGAAGTAAAGCCATTAGTCACTATAATACCATTACACAAATTGAAAATTTTGGAATCAACATTTTTATTAAAATTAAAAAAAAAAATTAAATAATATAATCTAATTTTTTTTCTAAATCTTCGGCTAAAAAAAACAATCTACAATTCTTAATTTTGAATTTCACTATACTACCGTTCCCACCCTTTATAACCGGGAAACTTGTTTCTCTCATCAGATTCTGATTTGCGCCTTGAAAATTGTTCTTCTTAGGCACTTAATGCAACAATTCCTTTCCAAAATGAAATTATCCTGGCTACATTAGAAATGAAATTGTCTATATATGTTCATACACATGTAAATATGTGTATACGATTGTAATGGTAATCAAAAAATCATAAAACCAGAAATTTTCATTTGCATGATTATACTGTAAACCTTGTGCCTACTCATGCAACATTCAGACATGTTTCATGGCACACCAACCACATTGTGGCCACCACATCATCTGCAGCCCCAACTATAGCAATTGCAACCCGAATCATATTTAAGTAATTAGTGGACTGCTATATTTAAGCGAGACCATAATGCTGCGATCCATTGCAACTTGTTGTGGTCGGTCAAACCATTCGTGGAAACTATGCGATTGTTGAATATTTCCTTAACACTACAAAAGCAACAGCCGGCCTACTATTGGTCAGTCCGTCAGCCCGGCCATTGCAACAAGGATCGTTAAAATACAATTTACACACACGCTCGCACACACACACATTCATAAATTCTGAAACTTTGTACAATGCATTAAAAACTGAATTAAATTGATGTAATTTATTCCGCCATCCAGTCCAAGTCCAACTCAAACTGCAATTGCCTTAACTTTTAACGTCATTGCCACAGAGAATGGCGATACGACGAAGGGGTATATGGTCAGTTGGGAGGTGAAACAGATTTAGTTAAATATAGGTTTTGTCTCGAATACTTATTGAAATTTATGTGGGAAGGTTTTAGATTCCGAATTCATGCTGTTGTTATGATTTCCCTCCCCTTAATCATTTTAATCTCCACCAACGAATTATAATCCATTTAAATGATGTTTTTGTTCTGTTTCTTCTTCTTCTTGTTTCGCCCATCATTGCAGTGCTACGTCAAACACATTAGCAAAGGATTCGTGTGCCACAGCTAGCCAAGCTGCAACAACATCATTGCCGCAGCGGTCTGCACCGAAGAAACCTCATCACGAGTTGCTGGCCGAGGTCATTATGCAACAGCCAAGTGATTACTACACACAAACCGAAAGTGAACTCTTACAATTGGAGGCAGCCGGCGTGCATTTGCCAGCCTATCAATTGCAAGCCGTCGATTCGGCGTTGCAAACACAGCTCGCACAACAACCTGTACAACAACAGACGCAACAGCAGCACCAGCATCATCATCAGCATTCGCATCTGCATAGTCTTCCAGCGCCGAATTTGAACAATAATGATCGCTCTACGCCCACCTCATCATCGAATGCCACACCCACACCCAGTAGCACAAGTCACATTGATCCAGCGTCAAGCAGCAGCAATGGTGGCAGCAGTCACACAGCCGCATCAACACATTTTATGGGGCCCCCACAGCGTCGCCACTGCCAGCCACCAAATAATTTGCCGCTCAGTTCGATCACATCGCCACTGCGTGCCAACTACAAAACGGCAGCCTATTTACACAGTCATCATCAGCAATTAGAATTTCAGCGTAATTCACAGTCGGACGATGACAGTGGCTGTGCGTTGGAAGAGTATACATGGGTGCCACCGGGTCTTAGGCCTGATCAGGTAAGTTCAAGGAACATGTCATAATAATTAATGTGACTTTGGGAAAAGTGGGCAATAAATGACTGAACATATTTAGGAAATTTCACTTTGTCACTGCATGAGAGTTGGTAGTAGGAATTTTTTAGCAAACAAACATCAGCACAGGTGTTGTTTCGATAATCGACGTTGTTTTCACGTGAAAACGACAGGGATTTATAAAAATATTGAAATATTGATTTTATAGTTATACCTTCTGCCATAAGGTGGAGTGTGTATTGAATTAGTCATTCCGTTTGCAAAACCTCGAAATATTCACCGGATACCCCACGATAGATTAAAGATATAGCTCTAAAATTTTGCACACACATTGTACTCCTAGGAAGTTTGGTATTGCAAATGGCATATATAGGTCCACACATTGGTGTAGCTCCCATATAACAGCAACCATCAATATTTGGCATCTTTGGGATTTTGGGCATGCTTTCCAACCGAATTGGCTGTAATTTGTTATTTTGGGTTCCTATTTTATAGCACATCACCATACAAAAATTATTAATATTGACCCAAGTTTCAGGGTAGCCCAATATAGCGCTACTCCCCATTTGTTATTTTGGGGAATTTAGACAATTTGCTGTAATTTGTTTTTTTGGGTTTTGGTGGTTTTAACCCTAAACAGTCGTTCTATGTATATGGTCAGATCCTCTTCACCGTGTAAAATATGTAATATGTTCTGCTTATAATGGCCTCTAGAGCAACTATAATATCTGAAAAAAAGTTTTCGGTTCATTACACCCCCTAAATATTTCAATGTCATTGAAAATTATAGGCGTCGTCCTTGACCATAACCGGAACTTCATGTAAAATTTCAAAGCGATCAGCGCGACCTTTCCGCCCTCTAGGAAGTTAATAGTAATACTAAACAATATCAAAACACACAGACACATTTAAATGTTAAAGTATAACTCCCACATCCGAGTACATACAATAATATAATTGGTATCAATTTAAAGGTCAATAACTCCTCTTGGATATACTATCAACTTCTTGGATTTATGTCCTTCAGGAGTAAATATATATACCCCAGAATAAATATTTTGTCGTTTTCTCACAAAAGTCTAAGTCCATTTGACCCACTAAATATTGACCGATCTTTATAAATAGCCATGCTTGTTCCTTTGCCAGATTTCCTTTCTGGCGTAAAATTTCGTGGTGTTCGTGCCATAATTGTGACCTCTAAAGCGACCAGAAAAAGAACAAAAACATAATTTCATCCCATAAATATTTTGCGGCGTTACAAACTCTTGCGGACACACAAAGCTATAATACCCTGATAACATATAAAAACCTTTAAGAAAAGCTGTGTAGTGTGGACGTCGGTTATATGATACCCCATACAATAAGCACCTCATCCCGATACCAAACTCAATTTGTTGGCAACTTTTAGATAAGAACATGCAGACTCCTTTACATATTTTGTATATCAATATATAAATAAATACCACGTAAAGTATCCGGACCAAATGTTTGATCCATTCGACCCGCTAAGTGTTTATCGTGTAAAATGTTCCGTGCCAACACGCGTACAATTTCAGTGCATTTGCATTACAAATTTGGGATGTAGAACAAGTTATAATACGGTCTAGGGCTATGTGGTGCTACAAAATCTTGGGGATTGATGTTTTTATTTGTATTGCATATATCAACTGAATTTGTATATTCCACATACCACTTGATTGCGCAACATTTTTTAACCTTTTACTTTTTAGTTCGTGAAAGATCGGTCTCATACTGTTTTTGATTATTACAATTAATTTCCCATATATCAAATTTAAGTATATTATGTACTTAAGAAAATATTAATGTATCATACACACCTAATAACATTAAACAAATGTTCCGATGTAACGACGACCTATAATTTGCTCGAATATGGCTAATTGCCATAGAGCCAATGCAACATGCTACTACAAATGCACCTAAACAGGTGCAAACAGAAAAAAACAAACACCGAATGGATTGTGGAAACAATATTTGTTAATGTGGTACCACCTTCTTTCTCCTAGCCCCCACACAACCATTAGTAATTATTGATTGATTGAAATTACCGTAAACGGTAAGAAATGCAATTAAAAATGCTTTCGCCTTTAGACAACCACAGCGGACAGATCAAAATCTATGTTGGGAAATTGTTGAAAAAAAGAAACACGAAACAAAACCAATCGACATCGAAATGCAGTTTGATGTATGCGGTTTTGAGACATTACAACAACATCAACCGAAACATGCGAATGGACAAAATAGTTACAATTTTAATTTGTCTCTCTAATGAACAGGCATTTTTACACGTCCACAGCCAAATCCAAAAACCATGAAATTCCCTGGAAAACAATGTACCACTGAATTGAATTGGAAGAAAAAATACGAAATACGGAAGCAGCTGTTTTGTGGTAGAGTGAATTTTAAAGTTGCGCTTGAATGGTTGGCTTGCGGAATCAATAGAGTGAGTGAGTGAATGAGCGAGTGGTCAAATGGCAGTGTTTGTTGGTTAGTTCGTTTGTAGTCATCGATGATGCGGCTGCTGATTTAATGCCTGGGTGAACAAAGTTAAGGTGGTGTGGAGTTTAATGGGCAATAAACATCACTCTGAGTTATTGGCCAGCGATTTTGACCAAATATTAATGATCAATTGCCAAAGCTTTTAACATTATGCCCATTGGCTTAACTCAAGTGAAACTTATAATTTATGACCTATACAGCCTATGTAAATCTAACAGAAATTTATTGAATATAATCGAGTGATGCTTATACAAGACATGTAGCAAAGAATACGTCAGGAAAAAACTTTTCTTTTCTGTAGCCAATTACAAATGTGTGATGTTTGAATATGGTCAATACATTTTTTTTAAAGCAAGAAATAATTTAAAAATTATGAAACAAAGTTGGAAGAAGATCTCAGACGCAAATTTATGTAATACTTTCTTGTCTACTAAGAAAATAGGTTCAAAACAACTGAATACCTAAATATTGGTCTCATAATATGGTTATGACCAGGGTCATTTACATTGTTCCCAAGAAAGGATTTAGCAGCAGATGGTTTGAAACATTTCGAATTCTACCCTCCAAAACACTTAAGGTTGATAAGGTTATTTTAGCGCAAAATGTCAAGAAATGAGGCCACGAATCACAAAATTTGTAGATATAGCGATATAGACTGGAAAGAACTCCTAAATTTTATGGGTAGACCCAAATTAAGGTAAGACTAAGCTACTTTTAATACTAAACAAAAAATAAATCAGAAGACTGATTGGTATACACACTGTATATCTCAGCCTTCTTCATATTTACATAAGATTGAAACAAGCAGCAGGTGTAGAGTAGGGATAAGTAAATCGACTTTCGACTAATCGATTAATCGACTTTCTTTATTGAAAAGTCTAAAAGTCGAAGTCGACTTTTGATCTGTGAGAAAATCGCAAAGTCGACTTTTCAAGATCGACTTTCGATTTTCTTTATAAATACGTGTTTTATTATCACAAAGCCAAAATTGACCAAAAATTACACATTCCAAAACTTTATTTGATCTGTTGACAACAATATTTCTAAAAAATCAAATTTTAAGTCGATTTTGCTTTAGTCCGTAAATGTCGAAAATCGATTTCGAACAGATTTGACAAAATCGAAAAGTCTAAAAGTCGACTTTTTGGTCAGATGCAAAAATTGAAAGGTCTAAAAGTCGACTTTTGCGCTCGACTACGTATCTCTAGTGTAGAGCGTGTGGGGAAGACAGCGAAACGTTGGAACATTTTCTATGTCACTGCCCACTTCGAACCCATTTCTTGGGAAATGATACTATTCTCGAACTAATCGATCCAAGGGGTTATAAATGGAAAAGACTAAAGAATTTCACTAAGAACAAAGAATTCTTATAGGCTTAGGGAGACAAAATCTTTAAATTATATCTTTTAATGTATATTCTGTTTTAGAACGCTCAACAGGCCTTATCACTGGCTTAAGTGTATGCCCTACTATTGGACATCTGGTATTTTAACCACCCCTCTTTTCAATCTATTCTTACCCCATCTTTTTTTGAGACAATTTGGATTCGGTTTAGAAATATCCGACTTTTCTGGACATTGCAATTTCCAAAACTGTGTCAAGTTAAAAGATATGCCAACACTTTGTGGGATTTGAAATCCAACAAATTTTGAAAATTTAGCTTATTGAGCTATTTGCAGGTCGAAAAGGATAATTAAAACTATGTCACTCCCAACTGTGGGATCCAATGCTGAGAGTGACAAAGTTCCACATTTTCGGGTATATCACCCGTAAAATTTTCAGAACTTATAAATTTGATATGAATGCGTAGTTAAACTGATTTTAATTAATATGTGGGCATCAAATTCACAATAGTCTCATAAAGCAGTCATTTGATTAAATTTGTTTAAACATTTTTATAAAACTATTATAAAGCGTGAATATCATATACCTACCTGTATACCAAAGGTACGACTTCGGTACCTTTAAAATACCGAAAATATTAAATGTTGCTAAGAACTCAAAACCATACAGGAGCGTGCTTTCTGAAAAATCTAAAGTAAAAAAAAAAATACTTTCTTTAGCAATCAATTTAATCTAACGAACAAAATCTACAAGTTTGTGGTTCAGGACGATGAAAGCATCTCCTTCTTTCGAAATTTTAAAAAGACACCAAACTATATACGATTTATTATCGAAATTAATCATATCAGTTACTCAATAAATAATTACAAGGACACACCTATAATGTGTAGAAAATCTGCTCATTTGATATACTATAATTGCATAGACATTACTTCAGATGGAAAAATTTCAAATTAGCAATTATACATTTATACACAAGGAAACCTAGACGATTTAGATTTCGAACATTGTATAGATATCTTGCACTGTGTGTTTGCTGAATTAATCATGGCGCAGATAGCGGGCGTATCAGCTCGTAACATAAGTATCCTGAATGCCTTTTTAAATCTTATAGTTTTCTATTAATCACCAGACCCACCCAATAATAATCCTATGTCGAGCCATGTATGGGCAATGAAATGAACACAGCTTGTTCGGTTGGAAAGAGCTTTGGCGATTCGCATATACAATTTTTGGCCAACAACAGTTATGTAGTCGTCGGTGGTTGGTATGTGTGTGGATGCCATCGACGTATGTGGGAATATAGTTTAGTTCCCCTCCCATCCAAAAACAGGCTAACTGAAACAGTTTGCACATATTTTCTAACCGTAACTTGCAACGGCAAGTGCAATTAATAATGTGACTGACTCTAGGACTCCCCCTATCACCAGTACCGTAGCCTCTAACACATTCATGTACATACGCATGGGTATACATATGAACACCACCACCCACAAATAATTTTTGAGCCAGTTTGAATTTGGCGTCGCAGACCAAAAGCACCACCGTTCAACCAGCCACCACACATCGCAACTCCATCTACACAATTACCACAGTAGAAAAAAGAACTGCAATAAATTTTCCCGATATACAACACAATCTGTAAGTCGTCTGTGGTGTTGGTGCGAGGGATGACAAAAACGAAAAAATTGGCGAAAAATGTGTAGTAAATCTCAAATCTATGGTCAAGTCGCAACGTAATGTGCGAACAGTTCGACTTGGCACAATGGGCGAGAATGTGGTAGAAAAATAAAACGCTTAAAGGCAAAAACTTAAATAAGATTTTGAGATGTATTTTGGCAAAATTTCGTGTTAGTGTCAATATTTTGAACAAATAATTGAGAAATGTTAGCTAGTTACGGTTTTATACCTTCCACCATAGGTTGCGCATTTCAAATACATTAAATTGATCGGGGACCCTAAAAAAGCCTTTTTTAAAAATGTCATTACAACCATTTCAGTTGGAAATGTGACTAGGTCATCAAACCGCCTAAAATTGGAATGGACACGTAAATAAGGACTTCACGGATGTCAACTTGTAGTAACTTCAATTAAGTTTTGTCTCAATCGGACAAACATAGGCAATATGACGTTTCATTCACATAAAATCGTGCGGAAATATATATTTGAGCTATATATAAATCAGAACCAATTTCAACAAAACTTCAAGGACGTCAATCAGGACTTAATTCAGTACTTTGTGCAAAATTTTGTTTCAATCGGACCAATATTGGGAGTTTGTTGCACCATTTACATAAAATCGGTCGAATCTATATATTGGAGCTATATCTAAATCTGAACCTTTTTCTCCAATTTGTATAAAATCAGACCAAAATATCTGTGGGATCTATATCTAAATCTAAACCTATTTCAACAAAAGTTGACGGATGTACTACTCTATTTACATAAAATCGTACGAAACTATATATGTGAGCTATATCTAAAACAGATTTTCTCCAATTTCAGTAGGGTTCGTCCTCGGGCCAAATAAGTGACCTGTGCCAAAATTCATCCAAATCGGATCATAAATGCGACCTGTACTTTGCTCACAAAAGTACATGGACGGACATGCATAAATCGACTCAAAAAGTGATTCTATGCATATTCACAAAAGGAATCATGGGTATATCTCGATTCTTTTTGCCTGTTACAAACACCACACTGTACCACAGTGTGGTGAAGAGTATAAAAAGGGCGGGCTATACCAAAACGTGGACCAATGTATGAGTCGTTTATTTTGAAAGTGGTTTAGTGGTTTATTTTGAGTAAGGCCACAAACAGACTTAAACCACTTCCAAAATAAATAAACGTAAGGTACATTCAAAATGTCAATACTGTATTTTAAATTTTGCGAAGTCTTTCAATACACAGACTCACTTTGTGAGGTCTCCAGTGAATAATGTTTTTTGTTTTCACATTTTTATTGATATCCCACACTGTTCTTCAATATTAATGATGGGCTCTGGTCGTGGCGCTGGTGATGGTAACTAATTGAACACCACTTGAACTGATGTACACAGCATGAGGGCCGCGACAATAAACTATTGGCTGCCATGAACGACTGCCTTAAAATATGGTTTACGGGAATGAAGAGGAGGGACATATATAAAAATACTTGTTATGGCAAAAAAGGATAGACAAAAACACACACATACATAAATAAATCGACTAATCTGGAGACCAACTGCCTGCAGGGCACTAAAGAAACTATAGCCATTTCTAACGGCTGTATTAGAGTTTTGTTGATAACACTTCACATACATACACACACACACGCCAAACGAGTCATTTGGGTGCATTGCCACAAGTGATACCGGATGATGCATGGCTCGTCATTAGCTTTTAATCGAAATTGACCAAATTGTCATGACTCTAAGGAGAGTGAAAGTACAACATTTTCGTTTTCCAGTGCAAAGTCCCCCCGAAAAAATAATAAAACAAAAACAAAACTACATTACAGGCCGAGACAAACCGCTAGACACTGAGACAGACAAACTGATATCTAAGCTGATGTAGACCAAAATCAGTAAAATAAATGGCCAGTTTATTGTGACCAAATCGAGCTGTGCAGCAACATGAGAAAAATAATACAAAACCAACGACATCGACAATGTAACAGCAAAAGTTATTCCATTGAACCGAACGAATTGTCAATGATAAATTTGAAAAATTGGCAATATTTCTTTTTTTGGGGTTGAATCAAAGGCCACCTAAAATGGCAACATTATGAAACAATTTATTTTTAATACGACGACCATTGCCTAGCGTGTCGTTGCAATTTCGTTAACCGATTGTTTTCTTGTTAATTTACTTCCAGGTCCGTTTGTATTTCTCGCAATTGCCCGACGACAAGGTGCCGTACGTAAATAGTCCAGGTGAAAAATATCGCATTAAACAATTGCTGCATCAGCTGCCACCACAGGACAATGAGGTGAGTAATGTTATCAATTGATTTTGAAATTATAATAAAACGTTTAGGTAATTTAAAAAAAAAAATTATAGAAGAAAGTCACAGTGGCTGAATTAAAAAAATTATATGAATTTCGGAAGGTTTTTTAATATATTTAATAATTTGTTTGAAAAATTCTCCTATGTTTGCAATGTATGTAAATGATGAAAAAAAGAATATTGATCAACATCTCATAAACGTTAATGATTTACGCATTTACGTCAGTATTCATGAGCGCACACCTAGACTGTAAATTGCATGTTTACCACCAACTAATCAGTCAGCCAGCCATTTGCTGGTACTGGTAATACAGGAAATCTATAAAAAGTGGGTCATGTATTTGAGAAAAATTTATTTTTTTCAATTTTTCAGCGCAGCATCTAAATTATGTTTTCAGTTAAACACCAATGTCTTGTTAAGAGAATACACCTCAGGAAATGTGACAATGTTGTAGAATTTATGATTAGAATCCAATAAAGTGAATATAGGAGCGGTACTATAGATTTGCCATTAATGAGGTGACGTGGGAAAAAGGATTTAAATGCAATTTTCTTTCTCTCTGCTTACTGGTATTTAGCTGCCAATTAAGAAGAAGAAAACTCTGTCTATTTTAATTGACTTAAATTGTTTACACTTTTTTTTGGTTTGTTTTTCTCTTTTCCGACAGGTCCGCTATTGCCACTCCTTAAGCGACGAAGAACGCAAGGAATTGCGTATATTTTCGGCACAACGAAAACGTGAAGCTTTGGGTCGTGGTGCAGTACGTCTACTGTCTGATGAACGTCCCTGCCAAAATGTAAGTAAACGATGCAATTTCCACACATATTTTTCAAAAACGAAAACATTCAAAAACATGATCATTAATTAAGTCTTAAATGTATGTGTGTGTGTGTGTTATTTAATTAAACATTTGTATAACTTAAATGGTAATCGTCTTTTTGGACATACTCTTACAGTGGTTAGATGATATCAAATATATTTGTATATACATTTGCCCAAGCGAATTAAAAATTTTATACAAAATATATCCCCGATTCTGGGTGGAAGCATCAAACAGCGACGATAAAGCTTCTCAAATACTACTCTCAGCATGTTTGGTATTGGAATATATCATCCTAGACCAATTTTCGAACCTGAGTGTCCACAGCTTGGAATTTCGTTTTCATTTTAGGAATGTTGAATCAGAAATTCATTTTAGAGGTTATGAAAAAGTTTTTTTTCAAGATTTTCAATGGGATTTTAAACTTTTTATGCCTGTTAAGGTTTGTAACTTTGCACATATATATTTAAAGATTTACAAGTCACAAAAAAATTTTTTATATGTTTTGTTGTTGTTTTTTGTAATTAAAAAAAAATTATATTTATTTATACCCTTTACCACACTAGCGTACCGGGTATTATGTCTTAAAATTAACAAAATGGCGGACCTTTGAAAAAATATTTTTGAAAAATCGCCGAATTTTGACCAAAAACAAAGTTAAAAAATAAGGAAGATCTTCACCGATTGGCTTTATCCTAGTTCATACGATAGCTATACACTTACAGAGAAACGTGTAAAAATTTGAAATCGATTGGGTTATTAGTTTTTGAGTTATCGTGCCCGCCATTCGCAAAAGAGAAAAACGCGTTTAAAGTTTGAGAAGCCCTTTAGCCGTCACTTGATGCTGACACAATAAATCGGCTATATCTTCAAGAATTCTTGAGATTTTCACTTGAAATTTTGTAGAGACATTCTTGAATTAGTGTAGAATCGAATTGAATATAAAAAATGTTGACCCCGAGAATGGGGGTGGGGGTCCCCATAACGAAGTTTTTACTCGATGGGATTTTAAACTTTTTAGCCGAATTTCCTAGGTCCCGCTTTAAATTACGAGTCACAAATTAGATTGTGTATATGAAAGGAGGCCCATAATATGTCTTCGATTTTCTATACAATTAAAAAAATATATATTTTTGTACCCTATACCACACTAGCGTACCGGGTATTGTGTCTTTGTGCATATGTTTGTAACAGACTATTTATGTATGTCCGTCCGTCTGTCCATGTTAAATTAATCAAAGTACAGAGTGATATATGTGAAGACTTTTTGCTTTCCCAAGGACCAAAAAAATCTTGCATATATAGTTTTAGATATAGTTCTATATATTAATCAAGTACAGATTGATTTATGTGAAGTTTTGAAAAAATCGGTTCAGTTTTATATATAGTTCCCATATATATTTTCGTCCGATTTTTAGTAAATGGTGCACCAAAGAGTACTGATGTTTTTATAGGCTAATATGTGTCAAGTTTTGGTAAAATCGGTTCAGACATAGGTCTACACTGCGTATCATAACTAGAGACGCACCTTTAATTCAATTGGTATGTTAGTTGACAAATAAAATGGACTCATTAAGTTATTGTACACAATTAAATTTTCAAAAACACATTTTATTCCGCATAGACATAACGATCAAGATTTATCGCATGTTCATGCTCTTTCGATTTATATAATTTTGTTTCATTGTACAAAAATGAAATGACCTAATGAAATGGAATTTTGTATAGTTATACAGATCTCTAATTTAATTTAGTATAATTTCATGTCTAAAGTCCTTCAAAAATGCAACGTCTGTTAGGATGCATTTTCTAAATATACCCAAATGGTTAAGGGTATCATATAGCCCCGTCCGACTTATTACTTTCTGGTTTAAAAGAGAGTAGGTAAATAGGTTGAATTGTCTCTGTTCATTATAACCGCTTAAATTCCAATCGTATCTAATTTTGGAAATCCTACCATTTTCACATTCAATATTTTTTTACATAACTTATTTTCTTTGAAAATGCTTGGGCGCTGTTTTGCAAAACAAACAATAAGAAATAAAACTAAAAATATATGGATATTTGAATTTCTGCATCAAATATACATATCTCTTAAAATTGCTGTCAAACTTTTCATAAACTTAGACAGACATCTTCTCGCCAAAATATGCAAAGTTTTCGCAAAAGTTTTCCCTTTCGTTTTTTTTTTTCTTGTGTATTCATTCACTCGCTGAAAGGAAACACTTTGCCAGTGCAACTAAAGGAAATCATAAAATGCAACAATTTTGCCACTCCATTTTTTGGTTTGTTTAGTGAGTTTTTGTGACATTTTTTGTTTGGCGAGTTTGTTTATCTGCGAAATATTAAAAACGTTTCATTTTCAGTTTCAATTGGAGTTTGAGTTTTCGCAGAGCTTTTTTGTTTGTTTTCTGTTACAAATTTTTTGTTAGTTGTTTTTTGTTTTTTGAGCTGCTGTTTGTCATCCAACTGCCATTTTCAGTGATTAAAAAAACGAAACGGCAATTGTTGCCACTAACATTACAACTTGGTTCACTTGGTGTATGACAGCTCTGGCGTCCAGACTTACACATGCATTGTGTAGTGTTGGATGCTGGGAGTTGGTGTTAAGACAAAAGTTGGTCTTTTGCGGGACACACTAAAGAGATCCATTTATTTGACAAAAAACTTTGTTGTTGTTTTTTCGTTGTGAAAGACGACAAAAAGATTTCATTAAATGCACATAAACTAAAAGGGGGACGAAAGTGGGAGAAATAGTCCGAAAAAAATTGTAAAAGACGACTGAAGTATTTTGTGTGAGTGTGTATGTATATTTTGTTATTTGTCTAGAAAAACAATAGATTGAAAACAATAATGGTCCAATAACAAAAGTAGTAAAAAATCTTGGAACGAGAAAAACAAAACAATTTGACAAAAAAAAATGTGTCCAAAACAGCTACTGTTGCAAAGTAAATGAAACTTTAACACAGTAAGTTGCATACTTTGCTGTCGCCTTAGAAGTTCTGTAAGAACATATTTAGTTAATTTTACAATCTACACACATATAACAGGGACACTACGTTTACAAATGACAGCAAAGCGTGGTTATTTAGGACTTGTAAGAAAAATCAATCTTTATATATATATATATATATCTACGAGCTCAGGTTCAGAAAATTAGAATTGTAATTTCATCGCATGTTAAAACCATGTTTGAAATGAATTGATCGAATATATGATGAATACAAAACCTTATAACAAAAACCAGTAAGGAAAGTTCGAAAGTCGGACGGGACGACTATATAATACCTTTCACCACTTTGGGTTCCCTCGAAGAAACATACACATGCCGTTCTGCAACCTATACTAAATTGCATTTCATTAGGACAGATTTAGAGACGTTTGCGTACAATGGGACAAATTTGTGGAATTTATTTTCATTATGCGGCACTGTTAAAAATTGAATCTCAATCAGACACCCGTTCCACATGTATATGGAAGCTATGTCTTCATCTGCACCAATTTCAACAAAACGGAATAACGACATTCTAGTCTCTATTTGATACGTTGTGAAAAATTTCCCGTCAATTGGGCAAATGTTAGGAGTTTGTTGCACCATTTACCTAAAATGGGGCGAATATATGTAGAATCTATATTTAAATCGGAACCGGACTCAATTCAGTACGCTATGCCAAAATTCATGCAAATCGAAGGATATATAGGGTATTAGGTGCACTATTTACAATTAATCGGACGAAAATATATATGGGAGCTATATCTAAATCTGAACCGATTTTCTTGAAACTTGACACACATAATTTTCGTCTTAATTCGGTATCATATGCCAAAATTTGAGCAAATCGAAAAATATATAGGGACTTAGGTGCACAATTTACGTTAAATCGGGCGATATAGCTAAATCTGAAACGATTTTCTCGAAACTCAACACACATAATTCTAAACTTTATTCAGTACGCTGTGCTAAATTTCGTGGAAATCGAAGGATATATAGACTTAGGTGCACCATTTACAATAAATATGACGAAAATATATGGGAGCTATATCTAAATCCGAACCAATTTCAACAAAAATAAATCTGTTCCCAATTCAGTACACTGTTTACAATTTTATCTCAATCGGATAAACATTGGTGGTTTGGTGGTGGTGGTTTGGATGACAATATATATGGGAGCTATATCTAAATCTGAACGATTTCCTCCAATTTCAATGTTGTTCGTCCATTGGGCAAATTTCAATCCAAATCGAAATAAACAGTGATTTTACGCATATCCTCAAAAGGAATCTAATCGAGCTTGTCATTCTAATTAATTTTTTTTTTTTTTGAGTATATCTCTTGTAGATATTATTCTATGTTCAGCTACCCTGCAGCTACCAAATTCTTAGCATAGTATAGTATATCGATTTTTTATTAATATTATATTATTAACATTTTATCCATGGTGTAAATAAATATCTATCCTGTTAGACGACTACCAGAAGCAACGTTTTTTTATGTTCGTCCTCCAGCTAGTAATCTTAGCCATAACAATGCACTTTTCATTTCATATTTTATTCTCTTTTTATACTGTTTTGTATTTGCATAAAAGTTATGTGCAAAAAGGACTAACAACGAAAAAAAGTACAAGTGACTGACTGGCTAGTAGTACGTACACCCCATTATGTCTGAGATAATTTAAACTCGAATCCAGTCAATAGCAATTTTTCCACATCCCCGTGTTTTAACGAATATTTCAAACGGAAACGTTTCATTTCATATTTTGTTTGTCTGCTTCTCCATGAATTGTGAAGTTTTCTGCTGAACTCTTGTATGCCATAGTATTGTGTCGCCTTGGAAAAAGGGAAACTGTTCGGTATTGTTGTCTGCCTGGCTTGCCATGGCGGCAAAGCCCTTTTATGAAAAGGAATTTTCGCAACAAAAAGGAAAAAACAGGAGTCTTGTTAGCGTCTTTCTTCTCGTTTTTTTTTTTCATTTTATT